GAATTAAAAAAGCGAAAGCTGATTAATGCAGCAAAAATGACGCAGAATTGCCTCCCACTTGGGGCCTTTCTCTGTGGGATTTGCATGTTCTCTCTGTGCACACGTGGGTTTTCTCCAGGAACTCCCGTTCCCTCCCACTAACCAGAAACCTGCTTGTTAGATTAAAGTGTCTGTGACATGCAAATGCTTCAAATGCAAAGAGTCAAAGAATACACCTTCATATTTAAAACACTTGGCATAGTACACATGATTTTACTTATTTTGTTTCATAACTGGCACATTTTTTTGTGAACTTGGCTCAGCCAAAGTGAAACAGGAAGTGAATTCAAAGGGGAACTCTCTGGTCTTTGTTTATTGAAACCATATTATTTTAACTAACATAATTAATATAATATAATTATTGCACTTTTACGAACTCTTTGCTAAGATTAGTACATTTACAACACCTGTGAACCTAATATAGCTAATTCTCTTTAGTGCTATCAGTGAAAGATCTATAATCTGTGTGCTAAGAAAAGCATCTACTTTTAGATATATGCTAGCTGTTCGTCAAAGACGCTATTACATTCTTGGTAACTGCAGCTGTCTGCCTCTTACTGTTTCTCCAATGAGACTTGAGCTGCTGCACTGAATCCACTTCTTCTCGTACAATGTTACATTCATTCACTGAAAATGAAAAGTAGCTCTTGATGACAAAAATMTATCAATCAAAAGGAACTAGAAATATGATTGCAGAGACTTTACGACCCATGGAACTATAATCTCAGAAGTATTACATGGAAAAACTGCAGGTTTTGGTCAGTAGACAGAAATCAGTGGGTCAATACACCATTTAACACAAACTGCATAAGATACAGTTAGCATTTGTTTAAAATATTTAACAAAATGGTCGTGCAGGAACAATGACATGTAGATGTTTTAAAGGAGATATGGATGTAGTTTTCCTTCTCCATGAACTGATGAAAAAGTTTAATAAAATTACGGAAAAACCATGAAATTTATCAAGCCTTGTTTAAGTTATTGCTTTAACTCGCTGATTGCATTTTTCTCTGCTATCATTGCAAACCATGATAATCCTTCTTTAATTGGTTTGCAAAAAAAAAAAGATACAAAAAACTTCCAAATAATTTGTCAAATTACTGTTTCACTGCAGCAATGACAGGCTTTTATTACACGAACCAAATCATATTCATTTTGCGCCACATTATTGTCACTCATTATTCAGCAGTTATCAGTCATTGCTCAAGGGTAGATCAGTAAAAGTTGCTAAAAAAGGAAAGCATCGTTGGATCGACAGTCGTTTGAGTCAAGTATTTAAGCTGCCCCTTTTCTAATGACAGGCTGGAATAGCTTTTCTAAGAATGACCCTCATAACTAGGAACACCAAAAAAAAACATGCAATACAAAAGACAATTTTCTAAAATATCCCCTCTCTTCGATTCATTCGCAGTGAACCGTGCACTTGTGTGTCTGGCCCACAGTGCAGTTCGTCTCAGAGATGTGCTGCGTGGCAGGCGTCTGTCATTTCTCAGGCAATGTGTTTGGCCTTAAGCCAGCAAGCTGGCAGCTGCCTTTGTGCATCGTGACCACTTGAAGCTGGAGATTTCACCAGGAGACGCGTGTATGCACAAACAGTCGGGCGCATATTTGCACACACAGACACACTGTGAAACGGACACACACACTAACAAATTGCCAGCAAATTTGTATAATTATGCTCCTGACACTGCCTCTCAGTTTGCCCTCTCAAACTGGCTCTCAGAATACTTAATCAGCTGGCTTGCATGTGCACGCACGTGCACGTGCCCACACACGGCGAACTTATGCAACGTACATTTACATACACAGCATGTATGTAAAAAAACATGAAGGCATAGTCACCCTCAGGGAAGCATTTGTTTTCTCTAAACAGAAAAGCACTTATAGACACACAACTGGAGAAACAAATAGACACAGTTTCTTTTTCACATAATAATATTTTTATATTTCACACATGTTTGTACTTCTATCCTCATGGGGACTTTGCATTGACTTCCATTAATTTTCCAGTTATTACTATTGCCTAATCTTGACTTTTACCCTAAACTTAGTCTAAACTCAATTTACGTCTTAGTCCTAAACCCAAACTTTGACCCAAAAATGGTAWTTCCCCTGGGTCTGGGCTTAGGTCCCCATAAGAGTCAGTGGGTCCCCACAAGGTTGTGTGTACCGGAAAAATGGTCCAAAATTATTCCAATGAGGTAGAAAATGCATCTAGACCAAGGAGGTTCTATAGAACAGCTGGAGCTCAGAAACCAGGTGACCGTGTGAACGGCTGGTGAAGCTAACGGCTAACGCTAAACGGTCAAAACTCTGGATTTCCCATTACTGTACATGTTGGTGACAGAGCAGAAAAAAAGGACTGGTGATGTAGAAATCATTAAAACTAGTAATGATAATAACCCAATTATTATTAATATTTTACAGTTTATATAATCTAATGTTTTAAATGTCAGAAAAGCTGTTTGTGTTATGGATTTATTAACAGAAGATAAACAGGAAAACGTCTCATTTTAAAACAAGTCATCAGATTTGATCTTATTTAGCTCAATGTGATCTGAGCAGAACATAATGTAACAGTTTAAAATTAAAATAATCTTATAAAGTCGATGTAGTCACTGTTATTTATTGAACTGGTTAGCAGATATTAGCTTGTGGAGCATTTATACAGAGTTTAGCTCTGTTGAACCATGCTACAATTTAACACAAACTAATATTACTTTGTCCTCTGATTAATATTTAGACCTACAGAG